CCCTTCCAGCTTCTTGTGCACCTCCAGCCTTCTCAGTCGGTAGAGCATGGGAAGCTGACAAGTCCTTGACTAGTGTAAGCACTGCTTAGCAACAACTAAAACATCGGTGTGTTATCAACATTGTTCTCATCCTAAATCCGAACCACAGCACTGTACCAGCTACTAGGAAGGAAATTAACTCTATCCCTGCTGAAACCAGGACAATATTTTTTTTTCAATTTTAGCATTTGGCTTTTTGTTTGTTAGCTTGAGAAATATACATAAATCTGCTTGTATTTATCCAGTCAGCAGCCTCGTGTTTCAGAACTAGACCTGATGTAGCAGTTATTTCCACCATGCTTTCAAAGAAATAATTTGTGCCTGAATACAGCTTTTCTGGAGTATATATCTTTTTGGGAATTAGGTACTGTGAGGGGATTGTGTAAGAATGGAGGAATTCTGTTAATAAGTTGATACCTACTTTCTCCCAAATGGTTTTGTAACATTTAGTGATGTGTGTTCTGACTATATTCTGTAAGGGAACTTAGGATCAAAACTGAAGCAAAAGCATTAACTCTACTTCGTTTCAGCTCCCGCTGCAAATACGTATAGGTATACTTGTGCCTGTTTAAAGAAATCCAAATTTGAGAATCTTGACACGTGTTAATCTCACCTAAGGAACACTTTTGCAATATGGGATTTCCATAACTACCTTTAGCCTAGATTAAATAGTGAGTTTCTAATTAGGATAGAAGATAACTTCTTTTTACAGAATTTCTAGATATTTACAAAATGAAAACCAGCAAATGATTACTGCATACTGTGTACTATTATTTTTTAATATTGAGAGAATTGCCATATCATTGCAAATTTTTTTTTTCATGGGTTACTAAGAATTCATTTTAAATCTTTCTTTGGTGCAATTTTTAACATGGACAGCACTTCCGTTACATGAAAACTATATTAGAACCGAAAGCAAATTTGTTTAATGCGAAGAAAAGCTCTAGATTAGCTGGTCCTTTTCTCTTTGCAAAACATAGATGATACGCTGGCCTTTAAAGGAGGACCTTGTTTTAGAAAAAAATCCTTTGGTGTTTAACAGCACAAATGTGAGTTTGTTAAAATCTCTGTCCATATATAAAGTTTCTTTATGACCTTATTTTCTTTCTCTCTATTGAAGTATACAAAACTATATCTTGACTTGTATTAGAGTTGGATAACAGCGTAAGGACAAGGTAATTTCTGGCTGACAGGTCAGGTCGAATGGCTTCAAGATCTTTACCTGAGTGAATTTGAACGAAATGGAAGATGCCGCACCAATTGCAGGTTACAGTGCATTTCTTTATGCAAGTATTGCTCAGAATTGGTGCCAGAATGCACGTGGCCGGTTCAGTTATTTCAGCGACCTTCTGGTTGTTCAGATTGCTTGGGAGCTCTAGCACTCATCGCACTCCTTGCTAAGGGTGTTCTGATAGTATGATTCTGCTTTTCAAATGATTGCCCCCAAACAGGTAAGTACCACTCACATGCCCAACTCCTTCCTTCCCCATAAAGCTGCCCTGTGTGTCAGAATCTGGTTTTGCATATACTATACATATGGCTGAATGCATTGCAGAATACTCAGGTACTAGAAACAATATAGCTTCCTCATCAGGGTCAAGGGATCTGAACAGACCTGTGCCCATACTGCCTCTGGTTCTTGAACTTTCTCCTTATCTAAGAAATTATCTTTGTCCATGGGTTAGTGCAATTATGCAAATAAAATGATTTATTCTTAAGGTACATAACAGTCATTTTGCAAATACCATATGTTGGAGACAGGAAACACTTCCAAATCAAACAGGAATGTTTCACAACTCTCCAGCAAAGGACTTGACTTTATTTCAGCTTTCTGTTTTATTCCTTATGGGGATGAATATATAGTTCATAATTCTCATGTTATGACCTTAATTGAATATCCTCTTCAAACATGACTTAAAGGCTTTACTGAAATCCTCATATTGGATGGGGGGTGTGTGTGTGTAAATCAATGTGCCGAAGTACCATGCTAGCTGACATCTTTACAAGGCAATAGTTCTAAAATACTTAGAACAGCTACAGAGTTTCTAATGTTTTATATTATCTGATTCTTCAGATGCTTCTTGTTTATAGTCCTTATTCGTGTGAGTAATTCACCTCATGATTACATTGTGATTCCTACATAAAGATGTATGACTTTGAATTTAATAGGCATACACTTCAAGTAGCTTTTACTAGGTCTTGTGAGTGTTACTTAGCTCCTGAAACTGCAAATTGTGTTGACAAACAGATCATCCTTGCTTCAGGTAGAAGTTTCCAATAGCTTTATTGTAAGAAATTGTCGTGGTTTAATCTCAGTCGGCAACTAAGCACCACGCAGCCGCTCGCTCACTCCCCCCCACCCGGTGGGATGGGGGAGAGAATTGGAAAAGCACAAGTGAGAAAAACTCGTGGGTTGAGATA